GAGCCGAATGGGCCCCGGATTCAAACTGTGGCGCAATCACGAGGTTCGGGTCGATTGGGCCGATCCCGAGCCTCAGGTCGACGACGAAATCATGAAACAAGTGATGAGTTTTTCTTTATAATGTTTTTCTAATTTAATTGTTTTATGATTTAAAGGTTAGAGTACTTCACGTTAGAAATCTTCACACCAATGTCGAGGAATCGGATCTGAAAAATATCTTCAGCTTCGATGGCCTTCACGTCGAAAGAGTGAAAAAAATTCGTGACTTTGCGTTCATTCACTTCGAGACGAGACCTGACGCCGAAAAAGCGTACAATTTGTCCACAGGTTTTTGCATTGAATTTAATTTTATTATAAAAGTTAGTGATCTTTTGCTCTAACGCTGTGTTACCATTAGGTGCGGAGTTCCGGAAGAATAACCCGACTCTGAAGATGATTCAGGTCTCGTATTCGCGACCGCAGAAGAGCCGTCCGACGCGATCGAAATCATTCCTATCTGAATGCGAATCGTTTCAAACGGATTCATGTTTGAGTGATTTGACGCCCAACTCATCCCCATATCAGGGATCGCAGTTCGCGTCGAATGGATTCTTGCAACAACTCAAACACTACCAGACTTTAAATCAAAACGGCTATCAGAACTGTTTGCCATTTGCCGCCAACTCTTATGGCTCGCCACCAATGGTTCCCATTAAGTATGATTTGGGAATTGGGGACAAGAATGACACTAATTCTTACGTTATTTTGTTTCCAATCCCATATTGGATCCCCAAAACCCCAAATAATAATAAACAAGCCATTGATAATTCCTTCCTCTATAACTATAACAATGCTCTTATGTTCTAAGATATCTTTGTCTTGACTTGAGTCCCACATTTAGACTCCAAGACTTTATATAATTGAAATAAAATAAAATATATTAAATGCTAACATTGTTTTTTTGCTTTATTTCAGTGTCGTTACTAACTTCTATCCATTCAACTAAATTAACCACACATTCACATAATATTCAATCTACTTATCAATACTCACACATCAGATGCGATACTATTTCTAACATTTTCTAATTATTTGACTTAAAATTAAAATATTTTGTATAATATATAACATTTGGCTTAAGATTACATCTAATACAAGGAATAATGAATGAAAGAGAGAGAGAGAGAGAGAGAGAGAGAGAGAGAGTACTGCAAATACTGAATATTGGAAACAGAGATAACTAGAGAATCGTGAGAAGAGTTTTGAGACACAAATAGAGAGGGAGAGAGAGAGAGAGAGAGAGAGAGAATTTACTGGCGTTTCTTACAAATTATTCTTACGTTAGAAATATTATATATTCCTTAAATTACTAATACATGTACTGTTACTAACCTTAATATAACTAATATTTCTTTTTAATGCTGTGTTTGGTTTGTATTTCAAAGAATTAATCAAATAAAAAATATTTGTTTCAATGAATAAGCATTTATTAGTTTATGAAAACAAATACTTATGAAATTCATATAGTCTTCGATCTCTTTTGTCTCTTCAAAAGTTTTAACAAAAGGATGTCATTTGATATGATATTCAATCATAAGATTACAATTTAGCCTATTTTAAGGTATTATTCAAAATTATTTATTTTGTTGCATTTCGTTTGATATTCCTGTCAAAAATAAACAATTATTTAATTTCTAATATAATCAATAAACTCATACCTTCTTCAGCGATAAACTTGAGCGCTTCCGATGAGATTCAAAAGCGTGACTTTCCTTCTGGTCCTTCATTCACCAACTCGTGTCCCAAACCAGCGCCACATTTACCGCATGTTAACTAACAATTTGTATACAAATATTAAAGTTGTAGCAAAAAAAATCAATTTAAAACATACCTTAAACGCTAATCTACTGACAAAACCTTCGCCTAAATCGCGGCGCCGACCGATACTATCGTTGGCCAAAACGTCTGAAAATGCGGGCCACGGGCTGTGGTGTCTGTATTTGGTCGCCGACGAGAACAATCGGTGATCACATTTGGAACAAACATAAATCCCTTTCCATATATTTCACATAATTTAAAATTTATAAAAACATATCATAAAACATGAATATTATTAAATTTACCACATTTCCAAAAGTCTCGATATATTTCCTCTTTATTCCAACTGCAATACATTGTGACTCTAATATCGATAGATTTGTATTTAATTTTAGGCTATTTATAAGCATATTCTGTTTGATTTGTCTAAGAATAGAGTCGTGAGAGGGCCTTAAGACTTGTGATAATTACAAAAACCATTTAAATAGTGATTGATTTATTTGAATACCTAATTAATGAGCTTAACGTTCACTATATATCACACTTTTAACGCATAAATTGTGACACATTTCACGTGATTCCTATCAATACTCTATAAGTTATGCTATTAATAAAATGTTATGAGAGTCACAGTATTAATATAATTGTATGTATAAATATTGCTAACATATAACATGTTACTCATCAGTGGATGAGTTAATCATTCAATTTATTGATTAATAATTTAATAAAATATGCAAAAATCAAATTTCTTTATTTCAAAGAATAACAGAATTAGAGTAACAGTATTAGGAAACGAAGAAATCATAAACTATTTAATACTGATTTTTAAGGCTAATAATAAGACTCTTCAGTCTTTTCTGTCTCTTAACAAAAGATTTAACAGAAAGACGTCATCCGAAGTGATCCTAAGATGCCTTCAACCGCTACTGAAGATCACAATTCTTAGTCGTATTATTGCTATCGATTGCATTATTGTTGGTCTCTTGAGTCCCAAACTGATTGAGTCTCTCCAAGTCTTCGGCCGACAATTCTGTTCATTGGAGATAAAAATCAATTCAATGGACAATACAATCGTCGATCGCTTACTATCTTTGGGCACGAATTTGAGAGACTCTGAGAATATTCAGAAGCGAGACTTGCCGTCGGGTCCGCCCTTCAGGAACTCGTGTCCCAAACCGTTACCACATTTACCGCAAACCACCTAAACGTCAAACACATGACAACACCATTAGCTCATGTGATGCGACGGCAGACATACCTTCAGAGCGCTTCGGCCCACATATCCGTCGCCCATCTCTGGCCTTCGCGTCACACTATTGGCGAGTATAGTCTCCGTGAATGCCGGCCACGGGCTGTGGTGTGAGAACTTAGTCACCGATGAGAACAGCTGGTGATCGCATAGAGAGCACACGTATATACCTGTCCAACACATCCATGGGTTAGTCAATGTGAATGTGTGGTAAAGACAATCAATGGTGAGACTTACCTGTCCTGTAGAAGTCTCTATAGACCTCTTCGCTCTTCCAACTGCAGAAAGACATGGTTTGGGACCTAATGGCAGATCTTATGACAAAATTGGTGTCATTTGATCGCCTAATGAACGGAAGTAACGATAGTTTGCGAGCAATAGTTGTGACGGATTTGCAGTCAAAATGAGTACTAAATGAGTGCTAATTAATAATTGCTGTAAAAGTCCTTCAATTTATTCAATCAATGATTTTTCAATCCCTTTAAAGGCTTTTCATTTCATCACTTATTCATCCGTTTGTTTATTATTGATGTGAAGAACACAACAAACGTTACATATTTTGGGCGCTTATATACCCCCTCTTTGACCCCCTCTTTGCAGGTCTTGTAATCGATTTTTAATGAATTATTAAAAGTAAATATTTTTCTATTAAATCAAAAATTATTACTATATTTACAGATGTTTTCATTAAAACTATAATCAGTAAAGTGTTGTTAATAATAAATGAATGTCCGATAAAAAGAGGTTAAAACAGTTTGTAAAGTATTAATAATTGTAGTAATGCTTGAAAAAATGCGAGAATAAGTGTTGATTCAATTGATAGCAACTAAAACCCGGAAATATTGTATTGAAAGTTATCAATAAAAATGATTCAAATTAAAGATAATTGAAAGACAATCAAAAATTTGAAAGTTTTGTTTCAATTTCTCATTTTGTTGTCAAAAAGTGTCGGACTTTATGTAAGACTCGATTGAATGCCAAAAACCATTTGTTTTGGTTTTGAGTCGTGTTTTGAAAACAAAACGTCTGATTGTGTAGTGATTTGGAGCCGAAGAAGTGGTTCCCATTTGACACGTGTTGACAACCATTGTGTGGAAGTGTTAGCCATGAATGAGGGGAAGACAATCGATGGC